GATGACCAGCGCTTTGTAACCGTAATCCCTATTAAAAAAAAATATTTTTTTACCGGAATATTATTTCCAGTAAAAGACTATTTTACCGGATTATTGGGCTATTTTCACTTCTAGTAAAGCCAGAATTTGCCAGAAGATCACAAGATTGGCCGGAATTTACCGTGTTTTTCTTTCTTTCTTCGGACGTCAGCGGAAGGCACTTAGGAGGAAGCCGGTGAACCGTGGTTGGTGTATGTTTACCAGATGCTGGACGATTCGCTAACAATTAAAGTGGTTAGTCCATATAGACCCGAAGCTTTTATGTATTTATTTAACAGAGCTGTAGGCAAAAGCAATCAGACCGAATGGGAACAACCAAGTCATTTGCCGCAAAAGATATCTTTCAAGGGACTCATAATGCCGCTGGGTAAATTCCTAGACGCACGGTAGTTCAACTAATAAAACCGCGTAGGTGCACCACGCGGACACACACACGGATACTGTCAGCAGCACATTTAGCGAAAACCACGAACGCGCTGAGCGAGCATCCGCCGGCGTTGAGAAATCCCGGGCACACTCATGATGTCGTCCCTGATGCCGTCGCCGCGGGTGCACCAGGCGTCAGTAGCACGCTTAGCGAAAACCACGACCGCGCGAAGCGAACATCCGCCGCCGTAGAGAAATCCCGGGCACACTCATGATTGCGTCCCTGATGCCGTCGCCGCTGGTGCACCAGGTGTCAGTAGCACGCTTAGCGAAAACCACGACCGCGCGGAGCGAATATCCGCCTCCCTTGAAAAATCCTGGGCACACTCACGATGTCGTCCCTGATGCCGTCGCCGCGGGTGCACCTGCAGGCGTCAGTAGCGCGCTTCGCGAAAACAACGAATGCGCGAAACAAACGTCCCCCGACGTTGAGAAATCTTGTACACAGTCTTTTTCGCTCGCTGGATGCTTCTGAAGGCGGACGGACAGAGGCGTAAGAAACAGGTCAATGAAAAATATATTCTTTCCATTTGCACACCCAGCTGCTTTGGAAGATACAGGCCGCACACATGGATCGAGAAGCCGAGACTGGGCGTTCGTTCCTGGCCCGCCGTTGCTCGTTGACGGACAAAGAAACCGGCTTTCTGAAAAAAAAAATAGGTCAGCAAAACGACCCTCTCCCATTTTCCCCACGAACCCAATGCGAGAGAGAGAGAGTGCGTGGGGACTCGTCCTTGGTGCGAGGCACCGTAATTACACACCAGGTCCCCGGCCCGTCTCGGCTTTCCCCTCCCCTCGCGTCGGCTTCGAGTGAAGGTCGGTAAACAGGGAAGCGAGTCACCCGTTTCGGGTACGGTTTCTAGAAAATCCGGGTCGTCTGGTATTAGCGGCGAGATGTATTGGTGGCGCCCTCCTATGGTTCCCCCTTGGGACGTCATTACCTTGCGAACAACAAGTTCGATGGTGTTGGTAAATAGCATGGCGGAAGCCTGAAATCATTGCGCTGTCAAAGCAACACTGCCACCACCGCTGAAATTAAAGTTCTTTCATGCCTCTTATTTCCGTCGATGGTATACCCTTTCCGACGTCATAGCCAGCTTTTGGGCCAATCGTGGAAGGCCGACAACAGCGACGCTTTCGGTCGCGCACGTCGCCAATATGAAAGTGGCTGCCGGTGACATCCCAGCGAAATTTGTTTGCCGGCAAATAATCTACCAAAGACATGGTAAATTGGTTTCGGATAAAAACGGGCGAAGGTGCCCACTTTTTTGGATCGTCAAAACAGTTCACTGCACGTTCTTCTTGAGGATTGCAACGTCGTCCCGAGCTAAATCTCGCACTCACGAGAATGCCGCTCGAGTGGTCTCGTACCTGCTCTGGCCCAGACTTTTGCCAGTCGCAAATATCAAGTTGCCGGTGATCGCTGCCCACCTTTTTGGAACGTGAATACAGTTCGCTGCATGCACTTCTCGCGAAGTTGCAACGTCATTTCGAGCTAAAACACGCGCTCACGAGAATGCAGCTGGATTGGCGGCCGCCAATACAAACTCTGTCCCCTGCTCGTCTTGGACTCCTTGACTTTAGCGGTTCCCCTTGCGTCGGTTTCCAGTGATGTTCGGTGTCCGGCAAACGAGAGTGGCTTCCGGTAGGATTCCAGCGGCGGGTAATCGAAAGTGGTTCTGGTAAGCTTCCAGCGAAAGTGGCTACGCTGGTTTCTGATGAAAATGAGTGGAAATTAACCCGTTTCCGACGAATGTCGCTGGAAGTTTTTGCCGAATTTTAACCGTAAGTGGCTCCGGTAAAAGGTCCAGCGAAATCTAGTAACTGGACGTAACGGCCGGTAATATTTCCACCAAAAAACTGGTAAACTACGCTGGTTTCTGGTGAAAATGAGTGGAAATTAGCCCGTTTCCACCGATTGTCACTGGAAGCTTTCGCCGGATTTTTAATAGGGACATGGTAGGCGAAATACACATCAAACCTTACTTTGAATACAAAAGGGGCAATATTACCGGAGCTGCGTTTAACTCCAATGAAGCTGCAAACTGTGCACTCGTTTTCATGGTGCGCAGCCTGAAGTGCGAATTCAAAGAAGTTGCGCACATCGTGCCAGTGCACAGACTAGACGCGAAGTTCCTGCACAAGATGCTGAAAGATGTGATTGGCGGGCTGGAAAAGATTGGGTACCGCGTTATGTGCGTCGTGAGTGACAACAACTCTGTGAACAGAAAAGCAATGTCCCACTTCGAATCGCCCGCTTCTAACAGAATTGTGTATCAACACCCATCAGACCCTGCAAGGCCGCTGTTTTTTTGTTATAGACCCGGTGCACATACTAAAATGCATACGAAACAACTGGATCAACCAGAAGAATGACAAAGTTTGCTTCTACTTCCCTGAAATGCAAACAAATGCGGCACAGTCAGAGCGCATATAAACAGCGTCATTTTCGACTATCAGAGACCATCACAGCAAAGAATGTGACCAGCCGTTAAAATATGGCTATGGGCTATCGAGAAAAGCCCTTTAACCGTCGAATATTGAAAGGCAGAACGTAAAGCTTGCCTTGCAAATCTTCAATGATTCCTCGCCTGTGGCGTTGCGTGCTCTTGGAGCGAAGCACAACCTGTTCTCATTCGAGGCTACTGCTACTTTCATCGACATCATACTCAAGTGGTGGAAAATTCTGAATGTGAAAACTCAGTGGAAGGGAAAGAGGCTGAGAGACCAGTTCCAATAACCAGTGTTCTCCGTGGACAACGATCCAAATATTGACTTCTTGGCATATCCTACAAATATAAATAACCAACCTGCTCAGCTTCAGGCAATCACAAAGGCCTAGACAAAGGTACTCTGACAAAGGAGACTCACGCTGCGCTCGAGCACACTACCTATGCGCTTGTGGAGCTCGCTAGGTACAGCTTCGAAGAGCTTAAAATGACCTATGTTCTTTTTGGTAAGATACAAACAAACTGCCTAGAGGACCGGTTTGGAAAGTATAGACAACTGGCAGGTGCGCAGTACCATATTTCTATCAGGCAGATTTATGAAGTCGAAAACAAGCTGCGCCTGCACAGTACCTTGCCGACTATTTCCACTGACCAGCATTGGGAATGTGTACGGAAGCAGGTACAGGCATTGCATCCCAGCTGCAACGTAGTTGTAAGCAGCGAGACGCTTTCGAAGATACAGGACACCCTTCCGATCCTGGTCTACGTTGCAGGATATGCCATGTACGTGACCCTCAAAAAGTTGAATTGCGCAAAATGCAAGGACGCGTTGACTGTGGATAAGACAATCACATAAAAATAATCACATAAAATCAACAACAACAGTGTCTGCCGCCTGTGAACATTATGATCTCGTGAAGCGGTTAGACCGAGGAGGTCTAGTGTACCCATCGATGTTTGCGCTTAATGCTGTTGCTCGAAACTACGTTGTGGTAGAGCAGCTCGCTGCGCAACCAGAACTGCTACTAATGCCCGAACAGCGCCAGGTCATCACGAAGCTGACGCTGCATTTGCTGGCCAACGAAGAGCCATCTGACTTCGACGCCTGCGAGAACGGCCACACGAGTGAATCTGTGCTGAAAGACATCCTTTGGTGCAGCACGAACGTTTTACTGAAGAACTTTTGTGTAAAGCTCAGCGACAAGGTTCTCGACGCTGCTGACAAGTAAAAAAAAACGGAAAGCCGCAACTCTCCAGAAGAAATAGGTGTATTGCTCCTGATGAAGCTCAAACACAAACCAAACTGGACTGTGTAAATAAATGTTTCACTCTTTCGTCCAGTGAAATTTCTTTTACAGTACATGCATGCTCGTTCTTGCAAGAAAAAAAAGTGCCCGCGCGGGAAATCGGTACGACAGCCTCTCTTGAACAGATCTCCGCACTTTTACCAATCCGCCCTATCACGTGACGTCACGGGAAGAGAGCTAAGGCCTTATACGTTTCTAGAGGGTGTTGCCTCAACCCCACCCCTCCCTTTCCTCCTCCAGTCATGCATGTGCGCGCCCGCTGGCTGGGAGCAGCCTCTACTGGAGCAAGGGGAGCGGATCGGATGCACCGAACACCGTGCGATTCCAGTGCGTTGCGTCTCACTGGATCCGACTGGTCACACCCAGAATCGCGCGGATCGGAACTGTCCACAAGGTCGGAACCCCGCGGATCCAAACTGGAACCGCTCCGATCTGACATTTTCGTATGAGTGCTCTCTGACATTCGCTGTAAAGAAACATCTCTGCTTTACTCCATTTGTTCATTGTGTGAATTAGAAATTGGTTTGCCCGTTTCCCCTTGCAGAATGAGTGGGACAGAATCAATAACCCAGTGCATTCCTTTTTTCAACACTTGTTATGTTTTGGTGAAGAGTATTAATGGAGTTGATGAGGAGGTTGGTCTAAATGTATTTTCATGTTAACAAGAAGCTAATTATGCATATATTTGTTTATAACTTTAAAGCACCTGTACAATTGTCAAATTGTCCTCGTACGCCCGATAAATTGTGCCTTTTCTTGTTAATTCACGTATTTGCAGGGAAGCTCAGTTGATGAAAACACTCCAGGAACCAGCCAGGAGCGGCACTTCAGGAGTACACCAAGGTATGCTGAACGGCCTGCACTTATCGTGCCCTTCACGACGCAAAAGAGATAACACGACTTTCCAGAGAATATTGTCACTATAAACGACGGCACCTCGTCTCGGAGCGTCACAACTAATCTCGTCAAAACTAATTGGGAATGCACGTGGTGGACATTTGATTTGATAGTGCTGTCGTTTACTGACAAATTACATATTTCCCACTAGAATTACTTACATACTACAATATTCAACAGAATAGTTAGCATTCTCGGCGAATGGTTATAGAAAGCCGTAAGGCAACCTTGTCTCGTCCACGTTTTGATAGTAGCGCGACAGTAGCGCCGCCTCCTTGTGTATCTCAGGGCGAATTGCCTTTATAAAGGTTTCCATATTTGCCGAGCAATCGTTTTTATACTTACAGTGCTCTAAATCTTGCTTTAATATTTCAGCTTATGCGACAGGTCTGAATTTGCGACCAATATTTGTCATGAGAGGAACCAGGTTGTTTTAGTTGCAAAATATTTACAAGATACGCGTTGCATGGGGGGTAGGAGTAAACAAGGAATGCGAGAAGCAAAATAAGAACGAGAAAAGGCGCGTCGAGTAAAGAAAAAACTATAGTCTTCCTCGAGTTTCTAGTCTTTTTGGTTCACAAGCAGCACCAAGTTTAAATTGAAAGAAAGAGTAAGGAGCATGTGATGTGTTCATATTGCAGGTATCGGGGCTGTACGAACCTTGCAACTCTCGGCGAAACTTGTCCATCAACCAAGAGCAATAGAAGCAATGTTTGTGCTTCTGGTAAGTTTATGCAACATAGAGCTATCCTGAAAGCTTGAAATTGAAATGCAGATGTACCATCCCTGTCATAACTGTGTGCTACATTAGCTGAACTACAGATCACGTTTTCGAACAGGTCCGTCTCTCACGTGGAGGAGACAACAATAGAACTATTGTTGTCTCCTCCACGTGAGAGACGGACCTAACTACCGCAACTTTGCGGTAATTAGGTGAAGCAGCACTGCACATATTCTGTCGCTTAAATTCTTTGCCTTGTTTGCTGTACCAGATGTATCACAATCGTTAAAACGGGGTTTGAGACACGAAAAAATAAAATAAACTCTCTTCCACAAAAATGATTTATAAATCACAGAGAGCTGAAAATTCGAGCACAGTGTAACTGTAGGTACAATCAAAATCTCGCTTTGCGTGAACATGGAGGTGCGTAACTGGGTACTTTCGTGCGTATAGAAAGCATATTACGACCGCACATGATCGTTTGATAAGCACTAGGTGCCTCAATTGTTTTTTCTGGAGTGGTAAAGCCCAAGACAATGTATCACATTCAAAGCGCTCTTTAGCTATAATTTTGGCATACGGCGTGCAAGTGTGTCTGCTGCTCGCGCACCTACTGTTTGTTTACACCCGACTTGTAGACACATGCTGTCGTTTATGTCGCGGTTTCAGCCTACGACAACTCGCAATAAAGCACCGAGGCTTTGTGCATTTCTAGTGGCTCAGCGCAATTACAAAGCGCATCTTGATTGCTGTGCTTTCTTTCATTTTTTCCCCTAAAGCTTGCACGAATGTTTTCATGAACAAAAGGCACAATTTTGCTTGCTTGAACGTCCATAGCGTTAGTGTTTCAGGCTGGATGGTGGGCCGGCCCGGCTTGCTCGAAACTGTGCTATTGGGACCCTAAACTGCTGCTCCAAACTGTCTTTTTCTATGCAGGAAGGAGCGAAACCTTGTACACCATGCATCGTTTACAATGGCACCTCTGCTGAGCAGTCAGACGACCTGTTCCTTTGCATTGAGAAGCAGCAGTTACTGCTGCTTCTCAATGCAAGGCATTGAGAAGCAGCAGCAGTGATGGCGGCATAATATCTTTTTGACATCAACTATGCTACAGCAGCACACAGTTTGTGCTCCATTGTAGAACATTTATTTTTTGGTGTTCGTGTTACAAAACCAAGGTGCGCAACACAGCGCGTCATTTCTTCTTACGTGGCAGATGTCTCCAGTGTTCAGCTGCAGACTTCTGCCAAATAAGCAGTGATCTGCTGACAACCCAACGTGTTTTAAAGAAACAATAAGTTTTTCGACTAATTGTTCCGTTCTGTGTTTTTTAAGTGACTATACTCGAGCATAGCTTTCTGTGGCAATGCAGCCGGAGCTGAGGATGGCGGGTGGCAACTGAGAGGCAGTGCCCAGCGCAGCCATTGGCTGCGATATGAGAACAGCCGATGACTGCGCTCCGCACCGGCGCCAAATTGGCCCCAGCCACCCACAGCTCCGATTGCAATGCTACAGAAAGTTGTCCTCGGGTATTCCAAACCTACAATGACAATCAAAACTCTGGTATGAATCAATAAGGCTCAATAGGGGTTATAAGGATTCCTAGAATTTGCACCCTTTTAGCACCCTTATATCAATGGGTGGTGACAGGCTGCAAACACCTTTTGTTGATAAAGGTGCACCTTGAACCACATCACCTATGAAAAGGGGTGTGTAGTCATTCGGAAGCACCATTTCTTAGGGGTGCAAGGGGGTGAGTTATAGACACGAAAATGCACCTTTAAGAGTGCGAATTTTTTTACAGTGTACTGATGTCCGACCCGTGCTCCCCCATCATAGAAGACCCTTGCTGATCCAGAGGCCCTGCAAGACCTTCTGTCATGTTCCTCCGTTCCTCCGAGGGGACGAGGGCAGGACAAGGGGGTGAGTTATAACACGAAAATGCACCTTTAATAGTGCAATTTTTTTACAGTGTACTGATGTCCGACCCGTGCTCCCCCATCATAGAAGACCCTTGCTGATCCAGAGGCCCTGCAAGACCTTCTGTCATGTTCCTCTGTTCCTCCGAGGGGACGAGGGCAGGACAAGGGGGTGAGTTATAACACGAAAATGCACCTTTAAGAGTGCAAATTTTTTTACAGTGTACTGATGTCCGACCCGTGCTCCCCCATCATAGAAGACCCTTTCTAATCCAGAAGGCCCTGCAAGACCTTCTTTCATGTTCCTCCGTTCCTCCGAGGGGACGAGGGCAGGTCGAAAGACGAAGCGACACATAAGTAGACGAACGAGAATTAATTTACTCACAAGCACAAAAAAGCAGCACAGGAAAAAAAATATAAGCAGAAGCGGAAGAACAAAAATAGAGTGATTAAATAGTTACAGTCACTACAGTCAGCCTCGGTCGTCTTTAAATGGGAGCTGAGAACACTCAGTCTCGAGCGTCGATCTTGCTTGGGCCGGAACCAGGCCTTGTTCTTCGATGTCACGGGAGTGGGTCCAAGCTTGCTAGGAGTAGGGTGTCTCAATGACCTTCTGTTTAGAGTGATGCCACCCTTTGTAGTACCCGATGCCGACAGCACGCGCCCACGGGGAAAATACAAAGAAATCGACGAAAACAAAATGTCGCCATAGCACAGTCAGCGTCACAGACGCGTGCAGGGACACGCTCTTTCACGCGATTCTGAACAAAAAATAAATGTAAAAGTGGGAACAAAATGGCCAGATGTCTCCACCCCACGGTGCTCCACCCTAAGCAAAGCGCACATGAAGGCACCCTAGCTAGAAGCTCTGGGCCACTCAGCACCAGTTCGATGGTGTCGCTTGACCAACCAGGTAAGCGGCCTGGGTTGACAGGAATGTTGCGAGGCCATTCCTTCGTGTCCGTCTTCGAGCTCGAAATCCAATGCTCTGGGCTTCTGGTGCGAGCAGCAAGCACGACGTCGCTCCGGCTCGATGATGGCGTGAAGACCTAGAGCGGAGCCAGGGTTCACCAGGAGCGAAGCATGGTCTGCCGGGAGCGCTGGCGGCTCGACTGCCGCCCTTCAGGTTCAGTCGTCGAATGTAATCTTCTCTCGCGAGCTTATCCTTTTTCTTTGTGCTCGAGCTTTTCCCCTTCTTCGTCTTCCACTTTAACCGTCACTTCAGGAATGTGACACTCCCCACTTCTTCAAGAACCTCACTTCCTGAGGTAAAGAGACGTCAAAGTTCTGATGAGATGTGCCTCACGTCGTTGACGTCGCTTGTCTTCCTCACAACGCTCACCACACACACGCGCATAAAAACATCAACGTACACATAAAAACAAAATGAGACCTTGATATTCGCACCAGTCTCACACTGTTCATAAGACTCGTTCAGGCCTAGCAGTTTATCCCTCGAAAGTTTCGGCCAGACGTCAGCTTCTGGAAAACTTTCTGTAACTTTTCTTTAACTTCGCTCCAAATGTAACTTCGCTCCAAATGCAAAAAAAAAAAAAAATATAAGCAGAAGCGAAAGAACAAAAATAGAGTGATTAAATAGTTACAGTCACTACAGTCAGCCTCGGTCGTCTTTAAATGGGAGCTGAGAACACTCACAGTCTCGAGCGTCGATCTTGCTTGGGCCGGAACCAGGCCTTGTTCTTCGATGTTACGGGTGTGGTGCCAAGCTTGCTAGGAGCTCTGGGCCAGCCAGCACCGGTTCGATGGTGTCGCTTGACCAACCAGGTACGCGGCCTGGGCTGACAGGAATGTTGCGAGGCCATTCCTTTGTGTCCGTCTTCGAGCTCGAAATCCAATGCTCTGGGCTTCTGGTGCGAGCAGCAAGCACGACGTCGCTCCGGCTCGATGGTGGCGTGAAGACCTGGAGCGGAGCCAGGGTTCACCACCGGGAGCGTAGGCGGCTCAACTGCCGCCCTTCAGGTTCAGTTGTCGAATGTAATCTTCTCTCGCGAACTTATCCTTTTCCTTTGTGCTCGAGCTTCTCCCCTTCTTCGTCTTCCACTTTAACCGTCACTTCAGGAACGTGACACCTTCTAAGACGTCCCCTATTTTTGTTTTTGGAAAGGACAGATGTGTGGGCAACCTGGGCCCTCAAAGCGTTTCGCCCAGGCTGCCCCTACGACCATCGTCAGTGGTCATCAGCACCGCGAGGGTTCCAAGGGCAACTAGCCACGCGAACGGCGCTCCGCCGCTGATAAAGGGCCATCGCAGCATGTGCGCGGGGGCCGTTGGGATCGCGGCGCGGGCGATAGTGGCCATGAAATGTTTACGTGTTGTTGAACCGGTTTGCAGTGTGCTTTCCCGTGACGAGTAGCAGCAATATAATTCCCACACGTTTCAGCATGAAGGCTAGTGATTGTTCTGGTTTCATCAAATTCGTGAGGCACCGACCAGATCTGGTGATTTTTAGTCCGCGCCTTCGAGGATAGGCGCGATAACGCAGAGCAGAGTCACTAAAGAATTAATGTACGTTTAGAGAATCGGCATTTAATTTCTCGATATTCTTGTGGGCGCCGCCATATTGGTGCTCAGTGCCGCGTGGGCATAATTGGCGATCGTTAAGGCGCGTTCACACCGGCGATGATGAGCACTCTTGCGATGCGACGAGATGGCATCGCAAAACATCAGATGGTCGCACTAGCGCGCGCGATGAGCGAGTTGCTTCACGAAAACCATCGCTCCGAACGCCGCTGATTGGCTCAACCTCTCCGCGACTAGATAGCATAGAAAAAAACTCGGGTCAGCTAACGACTGTTCGAAACGCGTCGGTCTTTTTCCGCGATGGTTGTTTTTGCGATGGAAGTTATCGCGCGAGTGAGGCACATCGCCGGTGTGGACGCGCTTTTATGCCGGAGCCACAGTGCTCATTCATCTTACAGTGTGCAAACACCAGTCACCGCAGTATCCGTGGTTCGAACGCCGCGTGCCAAGTTTTCTGCTTAACCTTATAGGGAGTATTCACTAGACGCCATTATTGTGGGTGTTGTTTAGAGCGCATGCTAAAAACGAGCTCAGATCAATAGGCTGCTAAGACCGGCACTCTTCACTGTGCGGAATGCACGATGCAAAAGAACTGTGGAAGCTCGCCATCAGCACGCGCTCAGCATTCGCGCACACAGCTATGGCCGCCAGTGAATACTCCCTATTGTCACGCGGCGTTGGAAGCAGGGATCTCGCGGTGACTCGCGTTCGAATCTGTATGCCGACTGTCTTTAGTATGATTAGTATGATGTACAAACAGTGTGACCTAGCTTTACCATTAAAAAATGCGACTTCCTGAGGTTTATATCCGGTGTAAGGACGTCAGCTGTGTGTCATATCCTGTCCTTTCTGTCTTTGTGTTATAGATATTTCTACAGTTCAAGCTGATAAAATTACAAGTAAGGACATCGTTGACATTTTTTTTCTCTGTCAAGGACTTTTCGGAGATTTTCGGAGATCAGAAAAGCGTTTTCTGGAAATTCAGATAAAGCTTCAGATTAGTGACCAGAATCAAATTATGCATGAAGATGAATGAGGAGTCTTTACTCCAAGCTTAGCCTACGTGGTGGCTCTAACGCAGAGAAGGCTCCTTGCTCGTCTTTGATACCATACAATAAAAGCATCGTAGAACAAATTTCGATAAATTGCGAGTTATTTTATGTCGAACAAATGTAATGAATACCACGTCCATATAAAATCCAAATTTAAAGCCGGTCCTCAGAAAGGGTGCTGTTTTATTGCCACAAATCCAACGTCGCATGCGGTCAGGCGCTGTGTGCCTCGCCTACGGGCACCTCGAGCTAGCAAGTGCCGCTAAAGAGCCCTTCCTCGAAGCATTCGGTGGAGGGTCCCGACGACCGGAATTTCTGCAGCTCTGGCTGCATTTCGACGTCCTCCGGGCTCGAAGCAGCGACGTTGACTGCAAAACGATATTGCTGACTAGTAACGCACCACAATTTGGAGAATGTGGAGCGAACGCTAGCGTTGGCACAACCCAGGGATACTGGGTTCCATCCCCGACCCTCCCCGTTTTGATCTGGATGAACACCGTACCGTCATGCACTCGCGTACTGCTACTACCCAGGCCTCTACAAAAATGTGTATGGACACTCCAAGGACGTTATATAGAGCAGCGTCTATGGAAAGAACACAAGGCATCTATAGGCTAACCACGACTATACCGTTGCCTTTCAGAAAACATCCCATTGCCGCCCTATAGAATATTGGCCAACGGACATTTATGGACGTCCTATTCTAGTGACGATGTAAGGTCAACCTATGTAGTAGTAGGAAACCTGTACCAACTCGGGCACCTGTCCATCAAAGCCCCAAGGGGGCGGGGCCAGTCCCGACCAATCACAGAGCCGCAGGGCGGGGCCCCTTCCCTCTTTCCCATCCCAGGGACCAATGACAGGGCATGGGCGTTGGCCAGTGACCAATCGGAGCTCGCCCAGGTCCCGCCCCCCAAGGTACGCGGTACAGGTGTGAGGTCCCGTACAGTCGCCGGCCATATGAACTCCCCCGGCCGAACACCGACCGGATCAGCGAAAATCCCGCACGCGGAGCGTCGAGCGTAGCCGCGTTTTGGGAACTAGGCTATTAGAACCAAACCATTCCGTTATCAAAGGGGTGGACGCGCAGCTTTTATCGGGATTTCAGGCTTTAGAAGTGTGAATCACAAAAACATGGCCGATTAGAATTGCCGTCTTCGGGTGTTGACCCCAAGTGTTCGAAGATGATGGTTGTGGGCAACCTGGCGATTCCAAGCGGTTGGCCCAGGCTGCCCCTCCGACAATCATAAGTGGTCATCTTGACCACGAGGGGGCCAAGGGCAACTGGCCACGCGAGCGGCGCTCCGCCGCTGATAAAAGGCCGTCGCAGCGGATGCGCGGGGGCTGTTGGGATCGCGGCGCAGGCGATAGCGGTCATTAAATGTTTACGTGTTGTTGAACCCGTGTGCTGTGTCATTCTCCGAGACGGGTAGCAGCAAGGGAAATCCCACACTGGCGCCCAGACGTGATATGCTGCTCGTCTGGGAGGATGACAGCAAACTGGGTTCGTTCTTACGTTTTACATAGTCAATTTTGCGTTCCTGAGTTTGCCCAAAGTTGAGGGGGCGTTTCTGCGCAAGCCCACGTTCATCGACCTGCGCAAGTCTCCACTACAACACGATGCCGTCTACAGAGGCCGCCGACAGAAACGTGAGTGAGGACGACCTTTTGACGCTGGGTGCACTCGCGGATAACTCCACCAGTGACATAA